CAAAACTCATGTTTCCATAATTGCATATTTCTTTGTAGATTGTAGCTTGCTCTTACATTAAGAGCACAGGGATTCATTTTATCTTGTTAAATTATACCAAATTATCTTCATTCATTTTTCCTTTTATTACATTCATAAAATTTTTATCATCTTACTTCTGTAGAATGAAATATCAGTGAGATGATTGAACTTAGCATAGAAATGTTAAAAGAGGGCGAATAGAAACTTAGGTCTGGTGTTTGAGAGAAATTTCTAAGGGCCTTTCTTAGCTGTGGGGAAGGTTTTAGTTTTGAAGAAAGAAAAATAAATCTTCTCTGAATAGGAGCTTACACAAAATAATAATCACTTACATATTAAGTGAGTTTATTTTCTATCTTTGGTTATCTTTTTAGACTTTTTATCACCTACATTGCTTTGAAAAATATTACATAAAGCTTGCCACGATGGGGGTCTATGGAGGCAATTATTTGATATATAAGATGTATTCAGTGCATAAGAATGCATCTATGGGTGTGAGTCAACATGAATCATAGCAAAGATCAAACCAAACCCTTTAACATTCAAGTGACCCTTTCCTTGAAATAATGAAATAAAAATGGGATGTCCTGTGGGACCAAAATTTGTTTTATGACTGTACATTATGTTCAGAAGAGTAAAACCCCAGGGGTCAGTTTAACTTTGTGATTTATGAGGGTCAGGAAAAGAGAATGACTATCCAGGAATGTTCCCTTGGATGTCATTTTTGCAATGATAGTGTGAATTTTTTCTTGAGAGACATGAATAAATGTGTACTCATCCCAGATAGAGCACAGGTCAAAGTGGTGATTCCACCAAAGTCCAAATTGGCAAATCAGTGAGTATATAGGACTTTCAGAGCATCGGTTGGGGGCGGTGCTTAGAGGTATGGGGGTGACCCCTAAAGAGACACATCACTGGAAAGGTCTCACCATAACATGGATAGCCAGGTCTTCATTGTCACGTGGCTGGAGTGATTGCCTCAGTTAACCTTCAACATTCTATAGTCTCTGGCACTTCCTAAGAACACGTGCATCAGGTACATATGGCTGGGAGGGAGGCATACAAGGGGGTGGCTGGAATCTCAGGTGAGGATCCAGTGACCCTCCCCACCTTCTATGGGGGATGTTAAGAGGCCTGATTTTGCAGGTCTTTTCCAGTCGTCACAGCTACTCTGATGAAGATGGTAATGGCTGTTGTACTTAGGGGACAGAATTCCCCCAACAACTTTTATTTTCATTCTTTGAAGGTTATGAGGAAACAATTTTTTAGGAGTTTTTCTTAGTATGGTGCACCCAGGCTCTCCACAAAGATCCAATCTGAGAAAGTAGGTTTTCCTGACCACTACTGCCTACAATTACACCGTCCCAGGAGAGCAAAGCTCATTATGTTTGATACCAACATCCTCTCTCTCTCTCTAAATTTCCAACTGACTGAGACAAGCTCAGGCTGTCAGAAACTGACATATGGGTCATGCCTCTGTATTTTCTAGCCCAGCCTTCTGATTGTAGCACTGGAGACCGTGTTATAGAGGGAAACAGCCTCACAAGTCAAGATGTGTCTAAAATACCTGGACATCCTGATAGCGTACCAGAGTGTGGACAAAGAATCATCATAGATGTGTAATTTAAGTCAGAAAACTACAGAGGAGAGGTATATTCATTGGTGGGTTAATGAAGATTCCATTAAAAGGTAGAATTTGAGCTAGATCTTCAACAAAGACTGATTTTAGTAAACAGAAAATTAGAGTGACATCTTTCCCTGAGGATCCGGACAAAGGCAGTGGTGTAGAAAATAATTGTCACATTCAAGGGACAATGTGTGATTTCATAATGTTGAAGTGGGTTGTACCACAGTCTGAAAAGAAACGTTTGAGAGTAGGGTGGAATCCCTTCAAAAACCAGCCAGTGTTACTTGAGATGGCACTAGGACTGTTTGGAAAATTCATGGCTCTAGAATCTCCCATTGTGGATTGAGTGGGGGTCATTGTAGGGGATCATGTTCTACATGGGAGCTGTGAGATCAGACCTTGGGTTTGAGATGCAGCATTTCTCGGTTTAAAGAACAACTGAAGAGAGAGACCCAGGTGGGTGGTCATAAGAGCTGCCCTAGAAGGGAATGCAGCAGGAGAGGATGGTCATGGCAGTTAGAAACTGGAGACAAGAAAATAACTACTGGAACTATTTAAAACATTGTGTTTCCCTGCATTCCTCAGATTGGCTCCCAGGCTTTAGTCTTGATATCTTTAGATATTCTCGTTGTGACGAACTCTTCTCCTCTTCATTCCTTCCAGATCATTCATTCCTTTGTATCCTAATAGACAACAAGGACCCATGCAGTACATCAAGTCAAAGCCTCCTGGTGTGCCCACTTGGCTCTTCTCACGTGTCTCCTCTCCCTTGCTTCTCCCATGCTGGGCTTATAGTGTTGCTCACCCGTTCCCTGGAACCCCGACCTGATGTTGGTCATTCACCTGCATCTTTTCCCTGTGAAACAATGTCTCTAAGTCCTATCAAGTGATAGCTCAGTAGCCTGTTTCTTTAACAAATACTTAAGCTTGTGTTTCCCTTGAATGCTTTCCACAATGTAACTTTGTCAAGATGTGTCCGCAGCATGTCTTCTCACTGGTTCTGTCTCATGGCGGATTCTATAATTAATTGATCTGGTCTAACATTTCACAACTTGGGAACCCTTTATGTCCATGCATTCTTCCAAACAAGGTTTTAAAACATAGCAAGGGGTATTTTACCATAAGCTAGGGAATTGTTTTATCTAGAAGCATCTGTACATCTCTTGCCCTTTGCTTACTATTTCTTTGTTCTCAGACTAAGATAACATCTCTTTCGTGTTGAGCCTGGCTCTTGATACATCTGCCTAGATTATAGGGACCAGTTTCTCTTCCTTCATACACATGCTTGCTCTTAAATTCTTTTCCTTGGGTTGTGTTTATCTTACTTTTTGTTATAGATTATCTTGCATCAAATTGAGATTATCACACATGTATGGTGGTGCACATCTATAAGCCCAACATGTGGGAGGACAAAGCAGGAGAATCATGAGTTCAAGGCCAATATGTGCTAAATAAAGAGATGTTATCTCAAAAGTGATAAGTATATAAAGGATACTTTCTGCCACTTATAAAGGCTTTTTTTTTAATGTTCTGGGGGTAACCAATCTTGAGAGCACCATTCAAATATCCTGAGTATGATACACCAACTGTTTTCAGATTTGAGAAGCCATCTTTCTCCTATTTATCTTTCAATAAATACTTGAACATTTTAAAACACATTTCATATGTGTAACCATAAAAATGGGTACCAGCCACCACCTATACTTCTCACATCTAATACGAATGCCTGTGTGGGATGCGGGACAGCGGAGAGTGGTGCTCATTCCAGCTTAGATGGTAATGTAGTTGCAAAGCAGGTTGTTAGCATCCAAGCATGTCTCCCATTTCATTTTAGTAAGACTTCCCACTTTGGTATCAAGCAAAACTATCACTTTCAGAGCATTAAGACTAATGATTCAAGATATTTATTCTAACAGACCTCTCCTTCCTTCTTTCCTTTGTTTCCTTCCTTCCTTCCTTCTGTTGACAAGGGAAAACAAGGTATAGACTAGGTAACACGATTTGCTTATTTTCCATTTCCTATTTAGGGACAGTACCATCTGATACGACTAACCATCTGGAACAAGGGTCTCCTGAGACACAGACCAATATCAGCTGAGGGTTTGACTGCTCTGTAGCCATTCTTTCCACACTAATGGTTCTTCCTTAGATTCAGCATGGGGAAAGTTTGCAGGACTTATGGATTCCAGAGCTCATGTAACTCTACAATTGTCTCCTCCACCAGTGATCAAGCGGGGGCTCTTTCTGGTACTCTCTCTCTCTTAGGGAGAGCTGCAGATTTTGTTATAGTTTAAATTGGCCTCTGTAGCCCTTATCAAGTTCATACATAAATCATGTTTATCTCTGGTTTCAAATGCTAGCTTGATATTTTTTTGATTGAAAGGTCTGCTTTGTTTTTCTGACCTCCTACATTTTTAAAAAACAAGCTGTGAAGATTCCTATAAGTTCTTCCCAGGGTCTCTCTTTCTTCACATTGCCAATGTGTAAAGACCTATTTGTTTTCTCCTTTGGAATCTATTCTTGCTTTCCAGTTCAGATTTTTTTTTTTTATGGTACTGAACAGTTAGGAAAGGTAATGCACTTCTATATTTACCAGAGGATTTCGTCCTTCTGAGAAAAATGACTGTTTACAAACTTAAATTACATGAAAAGTGCAAAAGCTAATCTCTGTATGCTCCTGAAAGCTGCTCACCATCTATGCATCCTTTTAGTCCAAAGGATTCTTCTAAGATTAGATGTCCTTAGGTCTTTTCTTGTTTTTCCTTCAATCATTATCTTATTGTGTAGGAAGCTGGGATTAAGCCAGATGATTTGACCAGATTATGCTTTGTGTGTTTGCAAACGTGTATGTGTGGCTCAGTGCACGTGTATGTATGTGTGAGTGTGTGTGTGTGTGTGTGTGTGTGTGTGTGTGTGTGTGTGTGTGTGCATGTGCGTGTGCACGCATATGCCCTACATGTGCATGTAAAGTCTACAGGATGACCTTAGGTGCCATCCTCAGGAACACTGCTTGCTTTCTTTGACACATTTCCCCAACTTTGAGACACAATCTGTCGTCACCTGGAATTCAACCAGACTGCTGGCTGAGCTTCAGGGAACCCTCCATCTCTGCTTCTCCAGTGCTTGGATTATAAGCACCACAGCACTTGTCCTTCTATATGAGTTAGAATCGAACTTGGGTTCTCAGACTCACAAGTCAGCATCTTACCGACCGAGTTAGCCCAGTCTCAGAGTCTTTCTTGCTCCCTCCATGCCTGGAGGATGGAAGCTACAAAGGCCCCTACTCCCTTGCTTAGGTTAGAAAAGCCTTAGAGAGGTCTTGAAGATCTTCAAGGCCACTCTCTTGACCACTTAC